TAATAAAATTAATTATTATTATTTTTATATATCTTAAAATTTGAAATCCTATGTACAAAAATTAGATTATTATCAAAATATTTTTTTTGGGCTCTTAATCGAGAAAATCCTTTTTACTAATTTTTTAATTTATTTTTAGGACGAATAACTGCTATAGTGATGCCAACGGGTCTCACCTAGACCTATGGTATTGAAAAAAACAAATATATAAATAATTTATATTTATTAAATATATATAATTTATTATTTATTAAATATATATATATAAATTATTATTTAATAGAAAATATATTTATTATGAATTATATATATATATATTTTTTTTTTCATAATTAAAAATAATTTAAATATATTAAATAAATTTTAAATAAAAAAAATATATAAATACATTTTGAATAAATCTAAATGATCTATTAATATAGAATTGTAAAATTAATATATATATATATTGAAGTGCAATTATGTTGATATGCGAGTACGGTGCGAGCGCCAGAACGTTGGTTTCGAGCCGTTAGTCCTGGAATATATTGGAAGATATTATGGAGATATATGTAAATTTTTAGAATCTTTGTATAAATTAGTGGATATTAAGGAATACCTCCCCCCAGGTCAAATTTGGCAGGAATTACGAATTCATTTGTTTATTGACCTTTAAAGAGGTTTACATGGGGTCTATAAAATAATACCTATGTAGTGAGACCAGCAGGTTGGTCCTTCACGAGGTTGGGTCGGCCTTTCTGGCTACTTGTCTGTAAATGTTTTCGCGCGGATTTTCTGCGGCTGCGTCTACTGTTGCTGCTTCGCGGCTTTCCACAAAATGCGTGCGCCCAGTGAGTAGCCGCGTAGTTTCCCTAGGCCTTGGGGTAAGTCTTTTTGCTATTTGCTTCTTGTGGTGAGATCTTTGTATACCTGGCCGGGAAATATGCAGATTCCTTATTCCTTATCAAATAATTGTTTATCCCTTGGGTAATATTTCTTATATTTTATTTCCTAAGAGGGAATATTATTATTGGCAGGGATTTTTTTCGTAAAGATTTTTTTCCTGTTGTTAACCTGTTCAATCCAATATCCGATTGAGATACTGATTATTTATATTATTTATTATTCGTATTTCACACTTTTAATTTATCCATCAATACGGCGACCTCATTCGAAGACGATGGATATATATATAATTTGTATTTTTTTTCTATTTATTATATATCATGAAATAAATATATTTATATTTATATATTTTTTAATTTTATATATTAAATTAATTAATGTATTCTTAATAATATTATTATTTAAATATATATAATTTAATTATTTATCAAATATATATATATATTTAAATTATTTTTATTATATAAATATCTATTTATCTATTTATTTATTATAAATATATATATATTTATTTATATATTATATATTTATAAATATATTAAATAATTTTATATTTTCGGAGAAAAAATATATATATAATAATAATAAAAAATATAATAATATTATCAATAAATAATTTCCAATATATTAATAAATAATTATTAAAAAAAAATAATAATATCAATATTAATAATAATGCCAATATAAATAAATAAATAATTAAATAAATAAATATATATATATATAAATAAATATAAATTATGAAAAATACGAAAATATAAAATTAAACATAATATCCAAAATAAATAATAAATAATAAAAAATAAAAATTAATAATAATAAATATAAATAAAGAAAAAATAAATATTAAAATATAAAAGAAACATATTATATAAAAATTCATTATATAAGAATTTGAGGAATTCGAATCCAAGGCGGAATACATCTTTTTATCTATACCAAATAAATAAT